ATAAAACATGAAGTAACAAGGACCAGCTTCAAAATTTGACAACTATTTTGATAACTTTCTTGGTTTACATCATCCGCTATCACGTATTCATAGTGAGTGATCCAATCACTATCCTGCGTTCGAGTGCTTTCCTCACATTTTTGGCGAATACTTCAAAAATCAATCTCATACTAAAAGTATGAATGAGGCTTTTTGTTATTCCCTCGAAGGTAAAGAACTAGTTTTTCACGAACTATGCCTTTTCTCTACAACAAAGTTGAGAAGTAACGCATTGGAATCTTATTATACTAACCACTCCATCTATACACGTATGTAATGCAGTAAAATTCCTTTGACACACGGGTTGATGACAGTAGAGGTTACTTTACATTCGACTGCTTTTATAAATCTCGCTGAAAACATGTAGAATCTGGTGACATAACTTGAGCCTTTACATGAGATCTGATATGGCATTTAAATGCTGCTAGACACGTGTTTCAGCCTTACGGCCTCATCAGTAGCACAATGCCTTCCGATTCAGCCAATCTGTTGCAAAGGAATATACTCCTACGTATAAAGGAACCGACACCAAATTACGAAATCACCGTATGTTAGTTGCTAAAATTTCCCTACATTACAGTGACTACAAGTCGACCGCTCATGGCTGGTAAGACGAATGATACCTTTACATTTTACAGCTTTTTATAGACCTCGCTCAAAACAACATATAATCTAATATCATGACCCATTCGCGAGGTCTGTTAGGGCACTTACCTATATGCTAGATAAGTGTTTCAACCCCACAGTCGCATTAGTAGCGCGAAGCCATTCGGTTCAGCCATATAAATGCCGTAACAGATCTCATGGAAGGCTCAGAAGATGCTATCACATTATCTTTTACAAACGAGGTCTATAAAAACAGCCAAAGGTGAAGGTAAGATTCATTTTACTAGCCATGAATGTTTGACTGTTGGTTACTGCAATGTCGGTGTTTTTAATATCTGGCATGCGGTGACTCTATAAATGATATGGCGTCGACTTCCTTTATATGTAGGGGGTATAACCATTCTGCAAGGATTGATTACACCGAAGGGTACATGAGCTACTGATAAGGTTTTAAGGCCGAAACACGTGTCTAGCACCATATAAGTGCCGTTTACAGACTTCATGGAAGGCTCAGGTATGCTGCCAGATAATAGACGGAACACTTAGGTGCAGGAAAAAAAAAGACAGAAGCCTTTCTTTCACAGTCAAACTAAAAACTGAATCAAAAGGCGATTCATAGCAAATACTTCGGAGAGAGAGAATGAATACTATAAATTGCCCTGCCTACCGTAAAGCTTGGATGAGTTTGGTATCTTCTTCAAAGACGACGTTAACGTCTCAGCAATATCACCTTCCACAAATCCCTTAAACTACTTAAATGGGAGAGGTCACAGCTACACACCGCGACCCCTCCAACAATTAGTTTAGTGGCTTCTGAGGAAAGGAATGTTGCCTTCGCATAACCTTTGTATAAGAAGAAAAAGTTTGTCAAACTAGACAGTACTTTGAACGATCGTAAATGAACATGCCTACTCTAACTGCAGTTACAGGAATGTATTTCACGCATGTTGGAACATCAGTGTTTTCCACCAAAGCTAATGCTTCATCCATAGGCATTGCACGCCATGTGCTTTTCCGTGGTCGTGATATGACAGACTCTTCTACATTCTCTTTCTCCACGTCTACCGCCTGAATCCGACAGTTTCAGATAAACAAAAAGAAACCATGCAAGGAGAAATACTTCTCATATATCCAATATTTTTGAGTGATACGCAAATTTTGAACATCGAACGTTCCAAACCCAATGTTTCGTTTCCGAGGGCGCCTCTCATGATCCCTCTGTAGCAATGCCACTATCAAAGATTAAGTTTTCCCATAGAATCATTCGCACTATTGCTTAATCAGCTTTTTTCTGTAAAAGCAGTTCTAGCATGTTTTTTGCATAGCACCAAAGCCGCTATCTAAATGAAATGAACCCCCGCAAAGTAAAGCATCGCTAAACATTTCAAGCATCAACCACCGACAACGATCTCTTGGAAGACACAGTTCTTGGTTACCCGAGATTGCCAAGGCATGTTGTTTTGGGGACTGCTTCACAACAAGAAGAAAATCAATGTCGACGCCTAAAAGGGAACAACTCCGGAAGTTGGCGCGGCAATCCTAGGAAGAACTCAAAAGACTCAATGTCGTCCCTCTCCAAGATGACGCTCGACTTCATATCGCAAAATCGAGTCGCCATGTTCTAGAAAAACTGGGATGGACCACGGTAACACATCCACCGCATAGCACTGATGTTGCTCCACGGATTATCACCTCCTCCTTGTCCTGAAGTAGCATTTGCGGGGGAAAATTTCGAAGACTACAACCAGAGAGCGAGCTCACCGACTTCTCTGATCGCCAGCCTCATTCATTCTAAAAGTGAGGCTTTCAATTTTGTGTAGTAAATGATTGCATATCACCAATCATTTCGGTGATTGCGCTGCCGATTGACTGACTTCTTTGAGTAGCAACTGAAATAGGAACAGTGTCGAAATGAGAAAGAAACAATGCAACAACCCGAGTTCGACTAAGTTTCTACAGAATGGCATGTTCCTCTTTTTCTGCTCTTAATATGGACGTGTGGTACTGATGAGACGGGCGACACAGTCGAAATGCACGCCTACCACTAACATACGATACTAAAAAGGTTCTTTTTCATTATGAGAGAACAAATGAAACCGACCACATTCGCTGGAGGAGGTTTTCATACAAGTGTTAGTAATCATTTGAAAGCTGGGATCTCCGGCTACAACCCCATGTTAACGGTTTTTTCAAAACAACCTTTCTTAGACGTGCATATTACTCCCTGGACATAACTCTTTCTTTGGACTATCAGCAATCAACCAACAGTGTAGTCATTTCTGATTCCAACGCTGTGATTATATATCGACGCAGCAGGCAAGGTAACTTAAAACTCCCATCTGCGATTAAGGTGGCCTTAGGCCACCTCTCTTGCGACCGGTTTGTGGACAGCCACGTGCGTTAGCGCAATGTCGTGAGACCAGTGCAAGGTTTATCGATCATCCGCACGTGAATTGGCCAAAGACCCCCTTGGTAGCATATGAAGATTCACTTGATTTACCTGCTGCGTTTCAGGACATGTCTTTTCAGATATAAGCGCAGTATCGGAATCAGATTTCGACTATGCTATGATGAATACTAATGGTCCAAAGAAAGAGCTCTGTCTGGCGAGAAATATGCGCCTTTGGAGCTAAGAAATCTCTTGCTGTAGCAACGTCAAAACAGTTTTTTTCGGTAACCGCGAGTGGGGGCTGTAGCCTCAAGTCTCCGCTTTCGAATGGTTACCAACACTTCTATGAAAAGTTCTTCTCCAGCGAATGAGATCGGTTTTTCATTTGCTCCCTTAAAATCAGAAGAACCATCAAAAACATCTAGAAAAAGGGTCAATAGAAAGTCTGTGGAAATGTATCCAAGTTATTCGACGAGGTTTTTCTTCAGTCAGTTGAATGAAGGCAACATTTACAAATTATTCACAAACTCTTCACTGACTGTGCCACTATCAACTATTTGATACGCCCATAATAAGAAAAAAACAAGGGGAACACCCACCACTTTCACGTCTTCCATATTGAGTGATGGTGTCTGCTCTTGTCATAACATGTCATAAACGTAACGGCGAAATGACACTGAGTTGGTTTTGATCCCAATAAGACCTAGAAGCCTAATATAGATTAGCAAAAGAAATTTATACACAGCTATTCAGGCTTTATGAGCGACAAAGTACATGCGGCGCAGTGCTTAGAGGTGCTCTACGTCGCACACAAGACCGATGGTTCGACCTCGCGCTCACTGCTCACCAAACCATCCATCCCTCCAGGGTCAGTTAGATTGGTACCGGCCTGGATGCAGACTTGTCCGAGAGGATCTCGGCTGGTGGAACAGAACAGACCGATGGCATCGACTCTTTTCGTATTCGACAATCTTATTTTCGTTATTCATGAGAATTCACATCGATTGCGAAGCAGATAGGGCGGTCATATAGTAAGAAGATCAGACGACAAATAGATGAAACGAACTGTAGAGTGGACTCGACAAGAATCACCCATCCTTGTGGACGATCAGCTATCAGCTACACGCTGACCGGGCATTTTCACTGGAAGAATTAATCAGTTCGGTTCTTTCGGATTAGGAGGGAACAAACGAAAAACCGATCTCATTTGCTAGAGAGGAAATTTTTGTGAGAGTGTTAGTAACCATTCGAAAGCTGAGACTTGAGGCTACAGCCCCACGTCACCGGTTTTTTCAAAAACACTCCTTTACAACAGCTGTAGCACTCAGATCAAAAGTTATGCTTCACACTTCGCCTTTTGCCTTCATTTTTATCACTCGTATACTTCGCTGGAAGCCGAAAAGCATATTAATGTGTGTAGAAATTTTTGCAGCATCTTAGTCAGCCGTTTTATCTGGAATTTCTTTCAAAGCGGAGGAAAAAATCCCCACTGAATAACAAAACATCGAACGCCTGTCTCACCCTGTCGAATAGCCGGTAAACAACGTTGCCTAAAGGGGAAAACTCGACCATATTTTCCCTGCTGAACCGTATTTCCAGAAAATAAGCACATCACTAGAATGAGAAAACACTACGCTATCAGATCATTACTAATAGTCTAAAGAAAGAGCTCTGTCTGGCGAAGTTCAAAGCAGAAATCGAAAGACCAGAGAAGATCAAGGGATCAGAGGAGCTTCTTGAAAAGCGAACACATCTTTGAATTCTTCGAAGCTGTGCGATAGTTTGAGTACTACCACTCCGAGGAAGGGGCTTTGTCCTGCGAAATATAAGCGAGATAAGAGGAAGAAACGTGGTTTTATAGAACATGATCTTATAATCAATCCAAAATCATTTTTATTTGACCGCCTATTGCGGTGTTATGATGTTTAGATAGACCCAAAGATGTACAGTGGCGTGCAAAAACGTTTGCGTCAACCGGGATTTGAACCCACATCTTACTCTCACGGGAGCATGTGCTAAACCGCTGCACTACCGATGCTCGTTTTGCACACCACTCTGCATCATTGGGTTTATTTAAACATGATTTTATTTTGAATGCTACAGCGTTACAAAGGGGTGTTTTGAGAAACCGAGACGTGGGGCTGTAGTCTGAATTCTCAGCTTTCGAATGGCTACTGACACTCTTATGGAAAGTTTCTCTACAGCGAATGAGATCGGCTTTTCATTTGCCTCATCCTAATCAGAAAGAACCATCAGCTCTCGTCACACCTACCGATATTCTACAAATCTCGTCATGAAACTCGCGCCAGGGGTCATGCTCGAGTGAGACCTCCACCATGAACGATACGCGGATGAGCTGATGACCTGCTGGGGTTGGCACAATTCGTGAAGGCGGACCGACCTAGTATTCAAGTAGGTATTCGTTCGAGGGGACTGAATACATATCAGGCCTTTACAATGACTCGTCAGAGCCTATCGATGCATCGACTCAGTGCTGTTTATCCTCCCAGACTAGTCTGGCGCCAATTTACTGACTCTAGAGGGATAATTGGCTTGATGAGATATGCGCGAGAACGAACCATCGTCCTCGTCAGAGACGCGCAGCACTTCTAACCACTGCGCCACGTGCACTCCCTTTCTGCGATACCTCTCCAAAAATTTAAGAACGACACAGGAATCGATCCAGAGATCGAAATAAAGAAAAAAAAAACATGAACAGACAAGACACGACCGCCGCGCCGCAGCCGAGCTCTCAATTTTGCTGCGCGCCTGCGGCATTTGCCTGCGTATGTGTTCTCTTGGCTGAGTATCATCTTCGATTGGAGCGCGAAAACTTCGCGACCCTCGTAGTCTGGGCTTCTAAGTTCAGATCACATTTCGTACGGTCAGTTTTCGAAGTTCGACTTAATTTCGTGAAGAAATTTGACTGGAAAGCTCTTTTGAGATTTCTACGAGAGTTGAGTGGTAAGCAAAAGCTCTACTTCAGGCTGGAGTCGAACCCGCGTTTCATCTATAGCGGAGACGCGTGCTACCACTACACCACAGAAGCCTACCGCTCGTTCAGGTTTCTTAGGAATATTTGAAAGACTCTACTACTGTGAAAAAATAGTAAAAACATAAGAATCATGGAATTATATGAGTTCTTGAGAGATCTTCCTCGCGTCAGAGTCCCAACCTCACGTTTTCGCGCGCGGCGAAAAAATTTGTGTTAAACCTACAGTGCAATTGGAAAATGGGAACTATTTGATAAATGGGCGCGCCTTGGCCGAGTGGTTGTGATGCTCGCCGCGGCGCACGTGGAGCCGAGCTCCATCCACCATCACTCTCCGGCAGTCAACGAAGAGCGCTCTCTGGGACGCCTCAGCCAGGTTATCCACGAGATAGCAAGGAGACATGCTCGACCAATTTTCTACGGCGTTCAAGAAGAAGACGAAGACCGGGTCGGATCCTAGAACTGCTGGGATCCGCACAATTAAAAAAAAAATTTGTGATGATCGTGTAAATTTTAAATTTAAAAAAAATTGACAACCTGAGGTTCTGAGGGGACAATATTGAGATAGGATGATGGAATATCACAGAAGAGAATATTATGAGTTTTTTTAGTCTAAAAAACGCCCATGTGTTGAAAAATCTCCGAAGTTTCAAACAGAACACATCCTTCCGCAAAGGAAGATTGTTTTCAACACTCAATCTTCTTCTTCTCTTTATGATGTAGCCGTGACGAAATGGATAGAGGTGCTCTACATTGCACACAAGGTCGATGGCTCGATCTCGCGCTCGTGGCTCACCAAGCTATCCATCTCTCCGGGATCGCTAAAGTGGTGTTCGACTAGTCGCAGACTGTCTCGGAGGATAAGCAGCCGTTAATGTCTAAGTGCTAGACAAGCGCCTGTTTCGTCGTGCCTTAGCAGCATAGTCTCTCGGTTGAGCCGATCCCTTGAGGCCTATACTCCTCTATGAAGGGATTTGACGCCAAGTGTTAAATCACCGCAAGTCAGGTTATAGGATCCCTTAACATTGCAAAGAGTAGCAGCTGATCTTGTGGCTGTTAAAATAAATCATACCTCTCAGTGGACTGCTTTTTTATAGACGCCCGCTCAAAACGAAGATGCTAGTCTTCTGCAGTGTTAGGGGCTCTATCACCTGACTTGCGGTGATTTAGTAATCGGCGTCGATTCCTTCATAAAGAGGGTTAGCCTCAAGGAATCGGCTCAACCAAGGGACTATGCTGCTGAGGCAGGACGAAACAGGCGCCTGTCTAGAACTTTGGTCTTAACGGCTCAAAACGTGTTAGATCATTACCACAGGATTATCGTTTTAAGCGGGTTCTATAAAAAAGCGGTCGAATGGAGAGGATAAGCAGCACTGAACCGATGCAGCGGTAGGCTGCCGCGAGTTATCAGAAAGGCCGTAAATTCCCTGAATCACCTCAAACGAAGTAATAATTGAGGACGAATGCATGGCCCATCCCTCAGAGATTGATGAAACCGCGAACTTTATGCTTTTATTCTTTATGATGTAGCATACAAGAGTTTTTTGCAAAAAATCTTTATTGTGGCTAACGTTTCGGTGTTCTCGTCTTCTCACAGCCATAACGACCCGAAACGAGTGCTCACAGCAACTCTTGTTCTCAAGACGTTGATCGTCCTAGCCGATTCATCGGGAAGAAGCGAGGAATCGGAATTCCAGGTTTGCTTTCCTTTATGTCCCATTATCAACCCGATTGCTGCAGGATGGATTGTCGCCGGAGGTACAATTAAAGAAGTCGGTCAACAATCGCCCAAGAACCATCCTGTATCCCGGAGAACTGCCCGATTGTTGCCTAGGTCAACGGAGTTTTTTTACAGAAAACAATGTTGAGGGCGCTATTTTATTCGTGGACAGCGTCGAAACGAATGCAATCCTATAAGCGCTCACCGATCAAGGTGAAGTTCCTCCAAGTACGAACATTAGCAGACTGTTATTGAAACTGCAGCACGGAAGTACGTCTCTTTTATCGATGCCTCACCATGCTCATTGGAAAAGGGGTCCGACAAGGCGTCACTACGTCGCGAAAGCTGTTTACTGCTGCACTACAGTGGATGATGAAGTCGCTTGATTGGGACGAAAAAGGCATACGGATTGATGGCATACTCCTTTCAAACCTTCGTTTTGCGGACGACATCGTCTTTTCGAAAAAGTGCCACCAAAGCGGAGACGATACTTAAGGAACTCAACAAAACGGGAAAAAAAGATTGGGCTACGTATTTACAGGCTGAAGACACAGTTCATGAAGAATCCATGGTGCGAAGATGAGCCTGGATGGCTCTGTGGTCAGGGAGACCAGCTCGTACGTGTACCTTGGACGTTCAATGAACATGGCGAAGAACATAAAGGAGGAACTAGACAGAAGAAGGACAGTAGTGTGGGCCGCATTTGGACCTCTCAAAGAAACCACTGACCATACAGCAGACCCCAAATTACGCGCTAACGTTTTTCGATTTTTAGTCCTCCCAGTACTGTTATGCAGCGGAGAGAGGGCTGACACTTCGACCACGTCAAAACTACTGCGAATAGCTCTCAGTGTGCTCGAACGATGTCTTCTGAAAATCAATCGGCACTCACAATACTTAGCCGGCTTACGCAGCTCAGATCTCAAGTTTTATCTCATCTTGGTGATCTAGAGGAATTCATATCGGTAGCGAAGCACACATGGGCCGGTCATATACTAAGAAGATCAGACGACAGATGAACGAAACGAACTGTGGAGTGAACGCCAGGACAATTTACTCGTCCCCGAGGGCGACCAACTACAAATTGGGCGCATGTCTTCGTGAAAAGAATTAATCAGCTGCATTCATATCTGTTATTGCACCATCTATACTCGTACCTGCCAAAATTCCATAGAACAGGCTATGAAACTCGCGCCAGTGGCCATGCTAGAATGAAACCACCGCCATGGACGACAATCGCGAGAAGACGAGGCGAATGGAAGATCTACTGAATCCGCACAATTCGTGAAGACAGACCGTCTAAGTAAGTAAATAAGCAAGTCCTCCTAGCTATCTATTATGCAGCAGAGACGTGGCCTGACACTACAACCACGTTAAGAGGTTTAGGTACCACTTGCAAAACTTGAGCAAAGTCTTCCAAACGTTAGCCAGTACCCAACGTCTAGCCGGTTCTCGCAGCTCCGATCTCCGGAAACTATTTCATCTTCATTACCCAGAAATATGGACATCAATAGCAAAACACAGATGGGCCGGTCATATTAATGAAAAACTAATGACAGATAGACGAAAAACAGAGGAGTGAAGTCTAGGAGAATGCAAGCGCCCTCTCGGAAGATGACCCAAAGATGGGCGGACGTGTTTATGGCTAACGTCAACCATCTGTGTCCGCAGATGGCAAAGAGTTTGGATTTACGAAGTGGGCCTCACGTACGCCACCATGCTTGAAGCAGCCCATCACTGTGGACAGTAGATGCGCTAGAGAAACGAATGGAACAGTGCTGGTCGGGTCGTCCAAGTATACAAGTAAGTAAGTAAGTGACAGACTCGGGCGCCGTGGCAGAGTGGTTGTGATGCTCATCGCGGTGCACATGAAACCAATCTTCACTTCCCAACACTCTACGCAGTCAACAACGACGCCCTTTAGAGCGCCTCAGCCAGACTATCCTCGAGATTGTAAGGAGACGCCTTAAACCAGTTTTCTACGACTTTCATGAAGATGAAGAAACTAACTGAATGTTAGAATTGTTAGGATCTGTGCGATGAAAAATACTGTAAAGAGAAATCGAGTAAAAGTGATACAAGAAAAGATGAAGTGATCAAATCTATTCGATTCGTCTTAGTGGAACTGCTACGCCGACCAGTATCCCAATGTTGTGGAAGCTGGTTCCAAACCATTGTGGCTCTGATGAAGGCGAATACAACGAAGTGTTAGCCACAATAATAATTTATAAAGAACGCGAGTAAACTATATAATAAATAAAAGAGTGTTGACCATCCACAATAGGATTTGAGGTAAGTAGGAATTGATATTTTCAACTAGTATAAACACTTGGTTAGATTTTTTCTATTTTTAGTCTACGTTGTTGTAGTCGTTCGATAGCATGAGAAGTGCAAATATTGGTACTAAGCTTGGTTTGTGAAGCGATTTTCACATTACGTTTTATTGATGGAAAAGATATAGCGTGCTGCATCTGTAGTACGTTGTTTCAACTTCACAGCGGATTTTTGGTATCAAAGAGATAAATGATAAAGCTGTCGACGTTGATCAATCCATGAGGTATGCACCATGCATTCGTCTTCAGTTTCTGAGTTCGGTCCAGGTGATTGAATGCATATTTGGCTTTTACAATGACTCGCAATGCCCCACCCCTCCCGATCGAGTCACTGCCGCTTATTCTCCAACACAAGTCTGAGAACTGTTTGCTACAAATCTACAGACCCCGGAGAGATGGATGGCTTGGTGAGCCATGAGCGCGAGATCGAACGCCGCTGGACTGTAAAGCACCTCTACCCATTACGTCACAGGAGCTCATTTTTGGTATTATGTGGTGAATTTTTATTCTAAGCAAAGTTTGCCTCTATGAAAAAATAGGTCCTTATTGGAGAAGCTTCTACAAACGTATTTTAGTAAAAAGGACGTCCACTTGTCCCAGAAACCTTAGTTTCAATCATATTGGGAAGACAACGTACTTCGAACCCTTTCTCCATATTTCTTTCGACATTGTTGCGTAAATGGACTTGTTTTCTATATTATTTATGTCGTATTTCGTTAATGTATTTCGAAAGCACATTTTCCACAACGAATGACTTCTAGGGGAACTTACATAGGACTTTTATTATGTGACCGGAGCAAGCCTTAACAGTTTGCAATAACTGAGTACTTTAGGAATAGTGGGTAAGCTAGATTTTATAGCAGAGTATAAGTGACTTATACAAATAGTTATTACTTATAATGCCGTGATAAAAAAAAAGTCTCTTCTGTGACTTTATGAAGGTTCCGACTCTTGAAAAATACTGATGCTAAGAAATTATTGAGTCTTATCGATGTAGCGGCATA